GGTGGGCCTCGAACTCACAGAGATCCGCCTGCCTCTGCCTCCCAAGTGCTAGGATTAAAGGTGTGCGCCACCATGCCCGGCATATTATAAAAATGTTTTAAGAGCAATGAATACCCACATAGTATTCAATAAAGTCTAACAATTACTAATATTTCACATTTAACTCTTTCAGCATATATACACATTGTTATTATCAGCATTTTGATTGTTTTATTAGAGTTCATTACAGACACTGAGATCATTTGTTCCTAAATCTTAGCCTGGGCTAGAGATGGAGCTCAATTGGTAGAGTGCTTACCTACCATGCTCAAAAACCTGGATTCTATTCCCAGCACTGCATAAACCAGGCATGGCTATATACACCTGCAATTCCAGAACTCGGGGAGATGGAGGCAAAAGGATCATAAATTCAAGCCTGAGCTACATGAAACCTGTCAAATAAATAAACAAAACAAAAACCCCAAAACCCCCAACAAAAAACCAAAAAAATTCCCCAAACTAAATCCCGGCATATTATCCCTTTAGAACAGGATGATGCCATACTTAACCACAGTATAGTGACCAAATGCAGCCTGACAATAGTGATGGATACTATCTAGTCCCAGCTGGCCTGAAACTCACTATGTAGACCATGCTGGGCTTGAACTCAGAGATCCGCCTACCTCTGCCTCCCAAGTGCTGGGATTAAAGGCGTGCACCACCACGCCCAGCTACTCACCAACGTTTTTATAACATTTTGTTTTCATTCAAGAATCCAGTATAAGATCATGTATAACATTTAGTTGTCACGTCCCTTCAGTATCTTCTAATTGGAATAGTTTCTTAGCCTTTCCTTGTTTTTATAATACTGATATTTTTAATTTTTTGCTGGGGGGTTCTTTTTGAGACTGGGTCTCCTATAGCTCCAGCTGGCCTGGAACTTGCTATGCAGACCAGGCTGGCCTTGAATTCATATAGGTCGGCCTGCCTCTGCCTCCCAAGTGCTGTTATTTTTAATTTTTAAAAATATACCGCTAGATGAGGAACAGCTGACCCTTCTAAAAAAAAGACCTCTAGATAGGCTGCCTAGATTCACCAGAAGGGTAAGTAGTGGGGAATGGCTGGGGGTGCCAACGACACAGCAGACAGCAGCAGGGATATCAGAGTATAAGGGCTCTAGTGGGGGGAGGGAGGCTATGGGAGGGTACTATCTGGGAAGTGGGTGTAAAAATAAATAAATTTTAAAAAATACTATTTTTATTTTATGTGTATGAGTTTATTGCCTGCATCTATATAAGTGCACCCATGTCCTGCAATGCCCATGGAGGTCAGAAGAGAGTGTCAGATTCCCCTGGAAATGAAGTTATGGATGGTTGATAGCTGTCATATGGGTGCTGGGAATTGAACCTAGAACCATCTCTCTAGCTCCATACTGGTATTTTTTTTTTTTTACTACAACTGTTGTTTGAAAAGTAAAGAGATATCCCTCAACCTGGACTGGACTTATTACTTCCTCAGATGTGAGGTTATTGCACTGTTTTCCTCTCAGTACTTTATGTTGGCAGACACCTTATTTGTGATGGTCCATTATTTGTGATGTGAACCATAAGCTGCTATTCAGCAGACTTTTCCAAACATAAATTTAATAACAGTTAAATATATGACAGCTTCTACAATTATCAAGCTTACCTGTTCACATACATCACGGCACATTTGGTTATCCTTTGAATGGTTACAACATGCTGCACCTAGGAAGGAAAAAAATAAACATGATGTCCTACTGTTAAACTATCAGATGATAATACAAAGTGATATTCAGGGACTGGAGAGATGGATCAGCTGTTAAGAGTATGGCTGCTCTTGCAGAGGACCTGGGTTTGGTTCCTAGCACCCACATGGTGGCTAGCAACCATCTGTAATGCCAGGTCCAGGGGATTGGATGCCTTCTTCTGATCTCCTCAGACACTGCACGACACAGATACACCTACCTACATGTAAACAATACACTTATACACATAAAATTTAAAAAAAATTTAAAGTCTGGTAGTCAATAGATTTTTTGTTTCTTTAAAAAATCTTTATTATAATTTTTATTTTATGTGTATGAGTGTACTGCCTGCATATACGTAAGTGCACCTGCGTTGTGCAATGCCACAGAGGTCAGAGAGGGTATCAGATTCCCCTGGAACTGGAGTTAAGGACAGTTCTTAGCCACCATGTGGGTGCTGGGAATCGAACCCAGATCCTCTGCAAGATCAGTCAGTGCTCTTAACTGCTGAGCCATCTCTCCAGCCCCCATATACCACATTTTATACTAAGCTTGTTTCATACAGTATATCATTCAGTACTTAAGTATTTGAGTATTATAAAAAATATTTTTTTTACCTATAATACAAAGCCATATGATTTAAAACAGAGTAAAATTTGTTTAGAACATGTTGAATTTGAGGTTCCTACAGGACACTCAGATGGAAACTCTGGTAAAGTCAGAAGTCAAAGCTTAGAGTACAGTAGAAGTCAGGTCTAAAGATCAGCAAGCCATCAGAGTAAGGGAGGTATACAGATATGACATTGCCTAGGAGAGTCTCCACTGAAAAGCCAATGTAGCACCAGATCCTAAAGAACAAACAGCAACACTTGAGATATCTGAAGAAACAGGAAAAGCAGAACTAGAACAGCCAGAGAGAAGTCAACCATAGTGACAGGGAAGGGAATAGCGTCAGATGCCAAGGGTCAAATTAGAAAAAGAAAATGAGAGCGTGGTGGCACACACCTTTAGTCCTAGCACTTGAGAGGCAGAGGCAAGTGGATCTCTGTGAGATCCAGGTCAGCTTGGTCTACACAGTGAGTTCCAGGCCAGCTGAGGCTACAGGGATACCGTCTCAAAAAGACCATAAATAAATAAATAAATAAATAAATAATAAATAAATAATTTACCTAGAAAACCACCTGCTGGCTGGGTGTGGTGGCCTATACTTGTGATCCCAGCACTTGGGACATGGAGGCAGGGGATCAAGAGTTCAAGGCCAGGCTGGGCTACACGAGACCCTGTTTCTTTTCTTTTTTTTTTTTTTTTCATTTTAAAAGTCATCTGCTAGCCAGGCGTGGTGGTGCACGCCTTTAATCCCAGCACTTGGGAGGCAGAGGCAGGTGGATCTCTGTGAGTTCAAGGCCAGCCTGGTCTACATAGTGAGTTCCAGGACAGCTGAGGCTACAGGGAGACCCTGTCTCAAAAAGACCAAAAAAAAAAAAGTCATCTGCTGAACATCTCAGGCAATTTCCTAATTAATTAAGTGTATGTATGTATGTATGTATGGGGGCATGCATGCCATGGACTGTAGATGTTAGAGGACAACTTGTTGGAGTCTATTCCGTTCCTTCCTTCTACCATGTGGGTTCTGGGTATTGAACTTAGGTCATCTGGCTTGCTAGCAAGAGCCCTTATCTGCTGAGCCATCTTACCAGGTAATTTCTGTGGAGCCAATAAAAGTTAATGATATTAAAAAGTAAATGAGGGGCTAAGGAGACAGCCTAGTTGGTAAAATGCTTGCCATGCAAATGTGAAGATCTAAGTTTGAATCCCCAAGCACTATGTAGCCCTGGCTGGCTTGGAGCTCTCTATGTAGACCAAGCTGGCCTTGAATCCAGAGATCTACCTGCCTCTGCCTCCCAAGTACTGAGATTAAAGGTGCACACCACACTCAGCCTATGCTTCATCTTTTCTATAAATTGTTGTACTCAGATGAACAAGATGACAACAGATGAGAATTTTCCTTTCTAGTTCTGGTCAGTACTAGAGATAAATTCCATATCATATATATGGAAACTAATATACACACCTTTGTATTAATTATTTTCTCCCTGCTGTGACCAAATACCTGACCAGAACAACTTCAAGAAAGAAGGGTTTATTTTGACTCATATCCCATGATGGCAGGGAAGGTATGGAGGCAGGAGGCTCCCTGCTCACATCTGGGTAGGAGAGAGAAAGAGAGATGAGTATTGACACCCACCTGGCTTCCTCCTTTTCTCTTTTTATTAGTCAGAAAGCAAATCCCATAGGATGGTGGCACCCATCCACATTCAGGATGGGTCTTCCTTCCTCAGTTAAAAAAAAAAACCTCTCTGCAAACATCCCCATAGGCAGGCCCGGAGGTATCTCTTAGGCGATTCTAAGTTCAATCCAATAGAAAATGAAGATTATATATGTGTGTGTATGCATATTTTGATGTTTTTCCTTAATCAGAGCAAGCACTGAGACCCAGAGCCAGGTCTAGGGTGGGGACTCAGGTAATATTCATACAACAGCAAGGAGTATGACTATAAAAGAATGAACAAAACAAAAAAACCCAACCTACCAATACTATTAACTGACATGGAAAGACTGAGAAATATTTCCAGGAGTTGATAAAGTGATTAAAAAAATTCAGTTTCTGACTATTGATATAATCTTGACATATCCATTAAACAGCTAAATGAGAGTTTTCCACTTAAGCAAAGAAAATGAAGAGAAAATGCTGTCAACTGAAGTTCCTTGAAAAAGCCACTTTTAGTTGAATATTCTACAGACCAACTGATTAGTCCTTCCAAATAGGGGTAAATGGAAATGTTGCAGTGACTGGAGGGAAGACCAAATTATCTTGGGCTATCTTTAGTCCTCTAAAGAGCCATTTATCACCCATCTCTCTAGCAGACCAAGCATTCTTTTGACAATCTTTGACAATCAGGCAAAACCTTTGGAATGCATTAACTTAGAGGATCTAACTAGCTTCCACTAACACAAAAGTAAAGCCTGTGATCAGACAGCATTTGAAACTTCAGCAGGAATCTTCCACTTTGTTATGAACCTCCTACCTGATGTCCCCACCATAATATTTAGTAATTGCATTGATTTATGACTTTCTTTTGTTCTCTGACTATAGAAGTTCTTCCACAGTGGACATGTCTTCTAAGGTAACCTGAATCCATGTTCTTGGGCCATGGTCATGCAGATTTCACTCAGAATAAACTATTTCTTATTTTCCTTGAAGCAAGAGCTATGTTTTGCCTTGACAGTGCAGCGACTAAGAAGTCAAGTAAATAAAATGTTTCAAGAAGGATGCATTGGGTTAGATGTTGTTGTCATGTAAGGCGGATTCAAATCCATCACATTTTTTAAGACTCTAAAAGATACTGGTGATCTTAAATAAATGTCATCAATGTGGAATGGCGAGAGCAAAAGCCTGAGTTCAAGAAGGTACAGACAACTCTTTCCAGGATTAGCACTGTATAATGAAGAATTTGGGGTGGTTTTTGGTGGCCTTTGTTTTTGGGAGGAAGGACTCTAAATCCTTGGACTGCCTCTATAACAGGAGTGCCTTGTTCTGATATGAGTGACCCAGTCTTACCTAGATAGCTTCAAGAGGAGGGCTAGCCAGGCTTGAAAGACTAGCCTTGTAACTAGAGGGTTGGAGATTTAAGTCATTTATCAACTTGACCTCTCAGCCTCTCAGTCTTTGGGGGAGTAGGTGGGGAATAGGGAAACGGGGATTGAGTTCAACCATTTGACAAATAGTTCAGTTATTCCTGTAATAGAACCCAGATAAAACCTCTTGACAGAGCAACTCAGTGGAGCTTCCCTGGTTAGTGACTATATTGATGTGCTTGGAGAGAGTGTATATATATATAATATATATATATACCGTGAGAAGGCAGAGAAAGCTCTGCATTTCTTCCCAGACCTTGCTCTATGCATCTATTTGATTAGTCCTCTTGATTTAGTATCCTTTGAGTTATACTCTGAGCCGCACAAGAGTAATTTTAAATATATTGCTTCCTTGAGTTGTTCTAGAGTTACTAAACCTGGGTCATGGGAACACTAGATCTACGGCTAGATGAAAAGTAGTGTGTGTTAGGTCTGAAGAGATGGCTCAGCAGTTAAAGAGTGGTTGCTACTCTTCCAGAGGACCTGAATTCAGTTCCCAGACCCATATCAGGTGTCTCACAACCTCCTGCAGCTCCACTTCCAAGGGATCCAACATCCAATTCTGGTTTCTATGGGTACACACACACACACACACAAAGAGAGAGAGAGAAAGCCACATAAACATACACATAAAACTTAAAAAGTAAATCTTTTTTTTTTTTTGTCTTTTTGAGACAGGGTCTCCCTGTAGCCCCGGCTGTCCTGGAACTCACTATGTAGGCCAGGCTGGCCTTGAACTCACAGAGATCTGCCTGCCTCTGCCTCCCGAGTTCTGGGATTAAAGGTGTGTGCCACCACGCCTGGTCAAAAGTAAATCTTTTTTAAAAAAATGTGAGGGGCTGGAGAGATGGCTCAGTGGTTAAGAGCATTGGTTGCTCTTGCGGAAGACCCAGGTTCGATTCCTAGCACTCCCATGATAGCTAACAACCATCTGTAACTCCAGTTCCAGGGGAATCTGATACCCTCTTCTGACCTCAGTGGGCATTGCACAACACGGGTGCACTTATATACATGCAGGAAATATACTCATACACATAAAATAAAACTAATAAATTTAAAAAAATGTGTGAATTGGGTGAGACAGGAGCTAGCTTCCCTTAGGCAATAAGGGTGGGACCCATGTTAGATCAATATCCAGTCACACAGTATGGGACCCCTCCCTTGACCCAGAAACTTTCTGGTTGGGCCTGAGGACTCCTTAATGGCTTGGTCTCCATGCCCTCAAAAATAATCAATCTCAAGAGAAATTATCTCAGTTTCCATTCATGTCCTGCCAAAGAACCC